GCGCAACTGCGAAGCTAATCAAAATCAATGGCTTCGTGGCTGCTGGAAAAAAAAAACAACGACAACAACAACAACAACAACAAAAAAAAAGAGGAGCGGGAGAGAGGAACTGTGCCGGTTTCCGACCCGTGAGTGCAGTACAGAAACCCCCCACCATCTCACAGCTGTTGCAATACAGTAAGAACAGCACTAGGGGAGTATACAGCATGCTTTCTTTTCCAATACAAACATCAACCAGGGTTAAAGCAGGTATTTTAAAAAGGATAAAAACACCCCTTGTCAAAAAATGGAGGCATTCAAGAATAACAATTATACCAGAAAATGTAAGGCTTTGACAAATACATACTCTCTAGGAAGTAATTCGATTTATGTACAGTGAATGCTGGCTATAAAGTGCTGGTAAGCTGTTTCTCTAGCAAAGCTTGCTTGACCCAGCAACTAATAGATGAAAGTCTCCAAAACTTAACCCTTGGTTCACACTAAACATCCAATTTAGAACTACAAAAGTGAAGCAAATCAGGATTAAAGCAGGATTTGGGGTGCTGGACCTGCTCTCGTTTGCACTTGGGAAGCACTGTAGATTTGGTTGTTGTTTCACGAGAATAACAACAGGCAGCACATGTCTTCTGACATTGTTGCTGAATGTTGGGAACCACCAAGGAGGAGATTGCTCCCCTGGGAGTCCTGGGTTTTTGGTTTTTTTACAGAAAAGCCTGGCTGTGGAGGGGTAGGACTGAGGGAGATCAGCCGCTCACTTTGCTGCTGGGGCTGATCACTCATTTATGGGGCTTTCCCAAGGTGGAGCCTCTATGGTAAGAACAGAACTTTCCTCTCCTTGGCTGTGCTGTAACCTTTCAGGGGAATTGCCTCTTTGGGAAAAACACTACAAGAAGTCTCCAGGCTGCAGAGCCAAATAGCCACTGTGACAGGCGAACCAAGGGCAGGGCCTGCTGCACGCGCAGCAGATGCAGGGGGAAATGGAATAATGCATATTCCGGGTGAGAAGTTTATTAAACGTTCAGAACTTGGGAGCTAGTAACTGTGAAAGGGGAGGAATATGTGGGAGAGCCCTCTCTCTGGCAGTGAGGAACGGAAGCCAGCTCCGGGGCCGCAAGGGTTGGGGCGAGGCTGCCTCTGTGTCCGTGGGGTATGCGCATCGGGCACAGGGCGAGGAGACACCTCCTGCGGGCTGCCTGTCCTCTACAGCAAAGTGACGCATCCCGTCCTCCTCCATCAATTGTTTTCTGCTCAAGTTTGACCAGTGCAATACTGTACACCCAATTTCACTTCCTCATTTGAGTGATTTGCAGAAAGTTGTATTTTTAAGACTATGCCCGGATCCAGCAGTCACTAATCCAGCACCTGCCACGCTGCTGAAATCAGCTGAGGCTCTCCCTTTTGCTAGAAGAATTCTTACTTATTTCAGTAGGAGGCTGAGCCGGAAAGGAGAACAAGATGCCGAGTATTACTGAGCATCAGGCCAAAAATGGTAGGAAAACGTTTTATCGGTCCCTGTGGTTCTGAGACCATCCGAACTCTATCAACAGACAAACTACACTTAGCTACATGATCCCTCCCAACACTGCGCAGACTATAAAGTAGGGCAAGGTTATTCATTAGGAACAATTTGCTCTTTCAGCACAGCCCTTTCTGCTGTTTGTGAATTGACTTGGATCAATAATACCCTTGAATATGTGTGCAGGGGCCCAAAACGCATCGGTGCATATTTGATAAAGGGAGAATTTATCTTTTAGATTGCTTAGAAACATTTATCCTGCGGTAGTGAAAAATGCAAGGTTTGACTGGGACACAGCGGCCACTCGGCTTGTTCCTTGACTGGGTGAGGGTTTGGAAGTATTTCTAAAAGACAAGAAGCCAAACCTCCTTTGGAAATTGGGTTTTTAACATTGCTTTATGCCTTTGAAAAGTCTCCCCTGCCATGAGAGGGACAATTTTCTGATGCACATCTCTGAAGTTGGGAAAAATGTTTCTAAAAAGCTGTGCTTGTGCAGAATAATTACTTTAAATAGCGTCTGGAAGGTATCCTGAATCCGACAGGTAGTTTTGGCTGCAAGAAAAAAAGCGCTCAGTACAAGACTGAAAAAAGCCCTTTGACTACTAAAGACAAGTTCTCCTGTTAACCCCTAGCCTATTGATTACTCTAGATGCAGTTCTCTGCCCTGGTTCACAGGATTTTGAGACTGCTTAAATCACCATCCAGGAGAATACCCAGCACCGGAGCCGTGGGAGATTCGGCACTAGCAGGCTTTGACGTGTTACAGTGCAGTGAAAAGCGCTGGGGTGTCTTTGCCACCTCCGTGGATGCTGCTTCCCAAGCTCTGAACCATCAAAAGAAAAAGAGCTGCCCCAAAGTAAATCGGTTTTATAAGGTTCTGGGCTAGATTATTTGTTTTGTCTTAATTTATGCAGAGATTGAAAGAAAGAAAAAAAAATAGCACCTTCTCAACAAGTATTATTTTTTGCTATCTTGTGTATAAATATTAATAACCAAAATAGATTCCTCCTTGTCCCATGTTTCAGAACATCCTCTTGGGGAAACTGTAGCACCACAGAGAGGCAGTTTAGCCCCAGACAAATATTAAATGTAGCACCAGAGAAACTAAAGTCATAAGAAAAGCTTATCTCACCTGGTGCTATAGCGCTTAATATATACACACACAAACTGTCTGTTGTCCAAGCTGCTAAGCACCTGCTCCCCCACCACCACGGCTAGGACGTGCTCGTTTTGCAGCAAGTTTGGTCTCTCAAGATCGGTTTTAACTCTGGATGTACAGATTACTTTTCATCCTGCTGCATTGAAAGGAACGTTTATGTTGCCATAAACGAGGTGCAGTGGAGAAAATGCTAGCGTCACAGCAAGGACATCACTAATCTTTTGACTCAGACTGCAGGAGCATGAACGCTCAGACCACCATCATCTACAAGGAATGTTGCTTACGTTCTCAACAAGGCATGCACGTTTTAACGTATGCATACAGGAGGGTTTACATTCTTCTATATATAAGCATGTATGTGTCTCTGTTTTGCTGCTGGGCCCTTGAACAGCTCCTTCCGTGCAAATCCTTCTTCACGTTGCCCAAAGCACTTCCAACATCTTCCACTTCTTTCTTCATCTCCACTCTTCACAGCTGCTGCTCAGGCTCTGGATTCCCTGTCGGAAAAGGGGAAACAATTTTCTCCAAGGGCACAGGGTTTTCTCCAGCCTAAGAAAGCAAAAGAATTGTGTTTGGTTTTAATTATATTGATGCATTGGTTACAATAAAAGCTTCTTTTAAATTTATGCTTGAACCCTCCTGCTAAATTTACTGACGAGAAGAGGTATATAATTTATGGGAAGGATGGGTTTGTGCTTCAACACAAGAGATGACGCCTTTATCCCCACGCTACTGCAGTATTTCTGGTGCGCTCTCTTTTGCAAGGCTCGTTCTTTTGGGTGCTCCATCTTCATTTACATCACGTTAACAAAAATGTTAACTTTTAGGGAAGCCATTAATTTTGTCACAGGTAGGCGATGGGATGCACTGAGTACCACAGGAGACTGGAAGAACTCACTCATTCCTGGTTCTGCCACTGATTAGATTTGTGGCCTTGGGCAAACCACTTCTTCCAGTTGCTGCTGTAAAATGAGGGCAGTAATAACTTATTTGCCTCATAGGTGGGCTGCAAGCCTTAATTAATAAAATGCTCAGAGAAAGGCACCCATCTAAGTGCAAATTAGCAGGAGAGGTGCCCAAGGGGCATCTACTCTGAAATTCCCATTTCCCACATTTATACCTAGGTTTGTGGATACCGGCTCTCACTGGGGTGGATGCCCTCTCCCAGACTGTGCTGTCTAGCTCGCAGAGACTGTGACAATGAGCGATCTTAGAAAAACCTCAGCGGAGAAATCTCTGCTGGCCTTCTGGATGAGGTGACTTCACCCGGGTGGGAGAAAGGAGGGGGGAGTAGCTGACTATGCAACTGCATCAGCCATGAAGTCAGAGAGTAATTAGGGCTGGCAAACAGCTTTGGGGCAGACTCTCATCAGTGTTACTCCGATGTAGGCCCAGAGTCGCTTCCCTTCCTTCTGTTATCACAATCCAGTGGCACTGCCTCTGAGCTGAACTGAAACCTCCCCTGTGAGGACCGCGGGGAAATTCTGGTGCTGCAGCGGACTCTGAGTAACCTAGAACGTCTCTGGTTCAGCCTCCAAAGATTCAGCCAGATCTGCTTGATCACAGGCAGCTGCTCCAGCTGCTGCTGCGCATGGGACGGGGCAATTACAACCTCTCCCTCCCTCAGTTTACAGTCTTGCTTTCTAGTTTGGAGGAATCTGAAGCAACAGTGAAAATAGCTTGAAGGACTAAAGCCAGAGTGAATCATCTGGACTTGAAGCACATTTTCATTTGTCTTGCTGTGATCAAGGCTACCAGCTAGCCATGCGGTTCCTAAGGCTTCTGTATCCGCATGCACACAGACTGCCACATACGCACCCGCTCTCTGGAACTACTGGAGGTATTTTAAAGGGGTTTTTGCAGAGCTTCTTAGCTTTTTTTGGCAGAAGGCAAATAGGAAAGGTGTTCACCACTTGAGCAAGTATGAACGTGATACTACTGGCTACACAAAAACAACCAACAGAGCACAGACCCTCAATGAACAGCTGGCAGTACGTAGCCCACAGGTTGGAACGCGTCCCCGCTGGGTCTCCTGGCCGGCACACGTGGGAGAGAGCCCTCCCTGCAGCCCCGCGCTCCCACGCAGGCCCCGGGGTCTCAGCCTGCCCTTGAGAGCCCCGCACGCAGGCGCAGGGCAACGCAGAGCTCAGACAGACAGACAGCGCCACGGGTTCCTCCAGACCTGTGAAACGTCACAAGGAGATTGTGGGCACCTGCACTTCTCACACAAGGTGTCTCTATAGAGAGGTCCTCTTCAGTAACCACGCCGGCACTGCTGGACGGGAGAGCAGCGCACAGCCTGAGCTGACCGCAGGGGCCCGAGAAATGGGGCTGGTGCTACAGAGGAAGCCTGCGATGCGGTTGCTTACGCTCAAAGAGGTGAGATGTTGACTCAAGTTACACTGCAATAAAGACTTCAGGAGTTGATTAAAGGATTTCCTCCGAAGCAAAACCATGTAATCCTTATTTATTATTTCTCCCGTAGTAGCACTTCCAAATGCCAGCTATGAACCCTTGTCCTACTGTGCCATCCGCGGCCAGCAACACATCATCCTTGGTGTCATTATATTTTACAAACTGTCTCTCGGTGTCACTTAACGTATAGAAAATCTATAAAACCCTGTAAAAGTTGATAAATCCTAGGACGTCTTGAACTCCAAGTGATAAATCTGCTCTGGGGCAGGCAAAGAGCTCGGCACAATGTTTATGCATCTCACAAGCCCCATTCTAAGAGCTTAAATGGCTCTGAAGTTTTGCAGCAGCCTCGTGCTGGCCTTCTGCATAAAGGTGAATTTCATGGAAAGAATAAAAGAGAACCCCAGAATCCTGGCCTTCAGCCCATCTTTCAATAAAACAATTTTGAATATCCTAGGCTGTGTTAAAGCCATTTCTGGGTGCATATTGGCTGCATTGCCAGTATCTGACTCATTAATGGAATATACTTTGAGCCAAATTCTGATCTCATTTACAGCACTGTAAATCCAGGGCAACCCAATTGACTTCAGTGGAGTTACTCCAAATTTCCCACAATAGGCACTCAGCAGACAGATCAAAATTTGGTACTTTGGGTCTGAAAAAGGCTGAGGAAAGCCAAACTACATCCCGTTTGTAATACTGGGGAGGATAGTAAGCTGGAGAGAGTGCCAGCATATCCCCTCTGCAAAGCTGCTGAAAAATTGTTTGTTTAATGTGTCATTTGTATAGTGTTGAAACTTTGCGGGGGGGTTGTTCGCTACTATCAAAATTTTTTGTTTACTCATAAAAAAAGGAATTCTAGCTGGCTTCCTATATGAAAAATGCAGTGTCTACTGAAAACATGGACTGAAGTGAAAAAGAAAAAAAAAAACCTCACTCGCTTTGAAATTTTTCATGGGAACCAACATTCCCTTTGGTGCCGGATCCCTCTCTTCCTGGTACTTTAGGCAGATGCAGATTCTGCTCAGAAAGTTGCTCCTATTCATTGCACCTATTAAGCAATTAAGGCTGTGAGATGACAAATCATGGTAGCTGATATTTGCAAGACCACCTCAGCCAGCCTCGACACATCCCATTGCTTTTAATAGATACGGGCATCTCGACTTCTCAATTAATTTGAACTCTCCAGCCTTAAATCCTACAGTTTTATCACGCAGCTTGCTAAGCTGGTGTTTACCAAAAAAAAAAAGCAAGCTGCTTTTCTCTGGGACGCTGAGTCGGATGGGCATGAAATGATGCAGGTAGGGGGCCTCTAGTCTCATCTCGGCATTTCTTTGACTAATCTTTATTCGGAGACAGGACGCAAAGCCATGCTTGGGTACCACCTGCATAAAGCCATAGGAGAATCTGAGCTCACATCCCCTAAAGCAGTTGGCAAAAGGAGTTCTGCTCACGGCTAATGTGTCAGCATGTAACTTCTTGATTTAAATGGATTACGCAGGCAATTCAGTTGGCACACGTTCCACTACTAATAAACAAATAACAGTTATTGATATATTTAAACAACAACAAAAAATATCCGAGGGCTTGGATTGCTAAGGGAAAGCTTGAGGCAGGGACAAAACGAGGCGCTTTCGCTTCCTTCCTCACCCAGCAGCAGGTTAATGAGAAAACAAGGGCTGGGCGAGAGCCCTGTCAAATTCCCAAGCAGCCTGCTTCCATGTATGCTCACACTTCATTAGCATCTCTGCGGGAGACAGAAGGGTAACTTGGAAGACCAAGAAACAATTAGGAGGGGGTTCAAGAGGTAAGACGAAAGAAGAGTAGAACTACCAGGGAAGAACTCGCAGACTGGTGTGTCCTGGAGATCTCAGCACGGGAAAATCAAGGAACCCAGACAGGGTAAAGAAATACTTTGGGGCTCCAATCTTTCCACAAAGAAGCAGCCTGCTTGGCCATAGTCCACCTGTGGAAAGAGGCATTTCTGGACTGCTGTTTATTTTTGAAAACTCTGCTGCCTCTTTCTCCTGATAGTTAATGCTGAAGGTTTTCCGTGTGCAATTTAACTGTGAGGTCGGGGCAAGGGCGGCGGGGACCTTTGGCGTTTTTGAGTAGGAAAAAAAAGAGCGGGCTCCTTCTTCCTTATTTATCCAGGAGGATAAACAACGGCGCTTGTCTCTTTGTGTCGGGGATGCATACAGGGTGCAACACGCTGAATGTTTGTCCTCGTGCAAAACTGCAGCTCACTGCTGAGCTCATCGGCTTAGCCCTGCGCTCACTGTACTGCCTCTGGTCCTTAATTTTCTTTGCACTCCTGCACAGCTCAGTGTGACATCTCCAGAAATCTTATCAACCCAATTTTAATACAGATAATTAACTGCACTGAGACTTTGGACAGAGTGGCTCTGCATGAACCTCACAGCAAACAGTGGGGGGAATTACTGGCAACACAGTGGGCACAGAACCAGGCTGGTGAAGCTGGCAGGGACAAGTAGGGTTTGATTTTAATACACAGCCACTTCTGAACTAATAGAGCGAAATACAAGTGACATTGTATGCCAAACTGGCACATGACAACTATACTTCATGCCCTGGCTGGGTATTTCAAGGTGATGTCAGATTATATATTATAAAACTGCCATTTGCAAAGCATTCATCCCCAAATCCCAAGCATGGTCCACAGACACAAGTCAGTCACACGCAGCGGCCCTAATCCTGCTTTCACTGGCATCACCTGGGGGCTGTGAGAGCAGAAGTCCCCTGGTACACAGGATTATTCCCTGAGCTGTGCTGTTGTGTAAAGCCACAAGGACCTGAGGGAACAACTACCAACCTTCTTCCTCAGAAACGTGACATACGCTCACGGCAGCCAATGCAAAACGCCACTACCACTTGAAAAAGCAGGAGGGGAACTCAAGTAGCAAGCCAAGCTGAAACTGGCCTTTTCCTCCAACTTCTCTACTCCTTCTGCCGCCACCAGACCACAAGACAAATGCTGACTTTGCAGCGCATTTATTAAGTGTACAAGTTACTCTCCTCTTATGAGCCGCTCCATGAAATCCCAAGATCACAAGTGCTCAGAGCCTGGACTTGTTGCAGAACAATGTTGTTATCACCACAGAGTGTCTCTGAGGGTGGCAGAAAAATACATACTTTGTTCAGGAATACTCTGCTGAGTCAATAAAACACTGCTCTCTTACCACATCTCTAAGTCTAACCCAGCTCACTGCACTTCGGCTCTGAGACACTGCAGATAATCAGATACCTCCACTGGTGTGAGCAAATTACAGTGCAGAATGAATAGAAAAGATTCCTAATGGCAAAAATAACCCAGAAACTGAGGTGTAGATGGTATGTTTAATTATTCTAGAGTTGCATTGCAGTTACATCTGCAGCTTGGTAACTTGTGCCTCGCAAGCTTGCCAGGAGTCGGAACGGGACAGTCTGCTGCGCATAGGGGCAACCAGGAGACTGTTCCTACCTTGTTATTCTCCCACATCTGGCCTCTTTATCCCTGAAACCGCTTCACATCACACACGAGGATCTTCTTTTCAGAGACTTACATTTGTATTTGTGTCCACGAAGCCCCAGAGCATTTGGAGGCAGCTCAGCACGTCCTGTCTGCGGCAGCCTTTGAAGCTGCGAGGAAGGACTGTGCATGCTGAAGGAGCTCGCCTCCGTTGTGTTGAGGATAACGCTTTGCTTTTCTATAGCGTCTTTATCAAAGCAATTTATAAGCAACTGGTTATTGTTGGGCCTGAAGTGCAGAAAGCCAAATGGAGGTGAGGGCTCCACAGAGTCAACAGCAGAAGAGATCGGGAAAAAAAAATAATATCTGCCTAACCAAAGCTATGCAAACCTCCACAAAACACTAAAAATCCAACCAGCCTTGGCCTCGTGGGATTGCCAGGGAGTCTGGGCTGAGCGTGTGCATGGATCCACGGCACCAGTGCACAGGCTTTCTCTTCCAGCCCTTCTCACCTGCCACCTTCTCTACGCGGGATGAAGTCCCAGACTGGGCAGGGAGGAATTTCCCCAGGCTCGTTACAAAGAAAAGGATCCTTGAGACACTAGATCAGGGAGATCACTGCAGGATTTTGACATTTTTTGAGCTGAGAGGCAAGCAAGTCAGACAGGTGGCTTTGCTTCCAAACACTAGAACCAAACTTGCCCCAAACAGACAGGATGGGAAAGAAGATGTCTAAGCTCTGGTCCTGAGCGCAGCCCCAGCTCTCTAACCTCTGCCCCACGTCACTGACATGACCTCTCAAAGGGCTCTGCTGCCCACAGCTCTGCAGACACCATCCTGGAACCTCAAACCTCTGTGCTGATGATTTTATAGAAATTGTGCCTTTGATTCATTAAAAAAAAAAACACAACAGGTTTGTTCTGATTTTGTTTTCAAATACAGCTTTCCAAAGGTAACCAGCAGAACCTGCTGACAGACGGAGCAGTTGGGGCTCAGACAGACAGAGGACAACAATGTCCCCCCACACACCAGTGCATACACACACACACACACAGAGCACTGCTGGGAAACCTCATTTTTAAACTCCCTCAATACTTTCTCTCCACACTATATGTATGTATTTAATGGTATTTCATGCACCTAAAAGGCATGCAAGACAATTTGCAATGTAAGACCTGATTCCTGACAGCCAAGCTCTGGCCCAAGAGTTGCGAGCAGCCCAGTTAAGCTCAAATAGTACGAGTTCAGCCGCAGCATTGGTGGCATTTTTCAACTGATTTCAAGCTCTTGCCTGAATCCCATCCCAGCTGGTGGGACATGAGCATACACTGAAAGTCAGACATGCACTTAAAGTCCTTCCTGAACACAGACAAACACTGGGGGACGTTCATGGGTATAATTTAAAGCACCCAAAATAGGAGCCCTTGCTCCTCATGTCTGTGGGGAGAAATCCACGTCCCAAAGAGCGCTCCAGAGCTCCCGAAATCCCTGAGGT